AGAGCCCACTCCCCATTCCTCTATCTGGCTCTTACACACCGGGCTAATATTCTCCTGTCCTAATCATCCCAGGACCAGGTACTAGACCACTTAGGACAGTCTTACACTTCTGCCCACTGAGATTATTCATACTAGCCAATCCGAAGGCTGAACACCCTACCTCAACCGTTTCTTCCCACAGAAACCACAGTAAAACCTCCTGTTCATATTTTCTTCCCAACTCCCTCTGCCTTCTGAACAACCTGATACTTCCCTGTATGGTCCCTCTACATGACATGTCATGTCTCCTATTTCTAGTAATCTGTGAGTATAAAAACTTCTTCATTTATGACAGCCATTTCCATGTCTATCTTGCCATACCTGATTAAAACAAATCCTGAGTACATTTTTAAACCTCCATTAAGATTGTACCTATCTTCTGTAGATTTTTTCAGACTTAACTTATAGTTATTTTATTTTAATTTTTTATTGAGTGAAGTGCTCACATCTTAAGTGAATGAATTTGTACATATGTATGTACCCACATAACTACTATCCAGATCAAATACAGAACATTTCCAGCACCCAAAAGGCTCCCTGTGCAGCCTCCCAGTCAATACTCTTCACCTAAAAAAGTAAACACTATTTGGACTTTTAACACCATATATTAATTTTGCTTATTCTTGATTTCTTAAGGAAATACACAGTATTCTTTTGCATCTGGCTTCCTTTGCTTAACATCTGTAGTATCTGTCCCCGTTGTTAAAGAACTATAGTTGCTTTTTCACTGATGCATATATTTCAGAATATGAATGAATATATTTATTAATTCTGTTGTTGATGAACACTTAGCAATTATTAATAAAGCTACTTTGAGCATCCTTGCACATGTCTTTTGATAGATACAGGTCTTCATTTCTGTTGGAGTGGATGCTGGATCATAGGGTGACTTACGTTTGGGTTTAGTAGATACTGACAGATAGTTTTCCAAAGTGGTTCTACCAATTTACACTCCTACTATAAATATATTTGAATTCCAGTTGCTCTACAAATTCAAAACTTGATACTGTGAGTCTTTTTCATTTTAGCCACCATGTGCCATAAAGGGACTGTTCCTTTTGTCATCATCATTTTGATTATTTTATTTTTTTGTGGGGAAATTTCTAATGATTGATTCAATACGTTTAATGGCTAAACAACTATTAAGGTTTTCAATTTATTTAAAACATTCATTTATTTACTTATTTATTTGGCTGCACCGGGTCTTAGTTGTGGCACACGGGATCTTTGTTGCCACATGTGGAACCTTTACTTGCAGCATGCAGGGGTCTTTAGTTGTGTCATGTGGGATCTTTAGTTGGGGCATGCAAACTCTTAGTTGCGGCATGTGGTATCTAGTTCCCTGACCAGGGATCAAACCCGGGCCCCCTGCAATGGGAGCGCAGAGTCTTAGCCACTGGACTACCAGGGAGCACAGAGTCTTAGCCACTGGACCACCAGGGAAATCCCCAAGGTTTTCAATTTATGCTTAAGTTAGTTTTGTTAAACTTAACTTTGTTGGGAAATCATTTATTTAGTCTAAGTTTTCAAATGTATTATCCTAAAACGGTTCATAGTACTTAGTCTTATTTCTTAAATCATAGCTAAATCTGTAACTTAGGAGTTCCTTTTCAATTCCAATATTGGTTTTTATGCCTTTTCTCTTAGATTAATCTTGTCTGATGCCCATTACCTTGGTCACTGTGAAAAGAACCAGATTTAGGTTTTGGGGATTCTCTATTGTTTCTTTGTTTTCTATTTCACCCTTATCTTTATTATTTAATCACTTCTATTTTTCTTTTCTTTTTTCTTTTTTTTTTTTTTTGCAGTACATGGGCCTCTCACTGTTGTGGCCTCTCCCGTTGCGGAGCACAGGCTCCGGACATGCAGGCTCAGTGGCCATGGCTCACAGGCCTAGCCGCTCCACGGCATGTGGGATCTTCCCGGACTGGGGCACAAACCCGCATCCCCTGCATTGGCAGGCGGACTCTCAACTACTGTGCCACCAGGGAAGCCCCTATTTTTCTTTTGATCAAGCTCTTTATGTCCTTTTCCTGACTACATAAACTGAATGTTTTAGCTCATTCACATACTAATTTTATTATTTTTAAAAATAAATTTATTTATTTTTATTTATTTATCTTTGGCTGCGTTGGGTCTCGGTTGCTGTGTGCAGGTTTTCTCTAGTTGCGGCGAGTGGGCTTCTCATTGTGGTGGCTTCTCTTGCTGCAGAGCACAGGCTCTAGGTGTGTGAGCTTCAGTAGTTGTGGCACGTGGGCTCGGTAGTTGTGGCTTGCGGGCTCTAGAGTGCAGGCTCAGTAGTTGTGGCACACAGGCTTAGCTGTTCCGTGGTATGTGGGATCTTCCCGGACCAGGGCTTGAACCCAGGTTCCCTGCATTGGCAGGCAGATTCTTAACCACTGTGTCACCAGGGAAGTTCCTCACATACCAATTTTAATACACGCACAGGAGACTAAAAATTTTCTTCTGAGAATATCTTTGTCTGCAGCCCACAAGCTGCAATATTTTTTATATCACTCAGTTCTAAGTCTTCTAATTTTCATAATTTCTTCAATGGTCCATGAGTAGCAAGAAGGTTGATTTTAAATTTTCAAACATACATGATTTGGGGATGGGGGGGCGGGGTTGTTATATATAACTTAATTATACTGTGGTCTGAGAAGGTGATATGTATGACACAAATATTTTTATCTTTGTTAAAATTCATGCTTTCTGGCAGAGTGAGGTAACAAATTATAAATGTTCCACGAGTGCCTGAAAGAATGTGAATTCTCAAATTGTTGGCTACAGGCTTCCATACATACATCCATTAGATCAAGATTATTAATCACTCAACTCTTCAGCTTCTTACTTTTTTGTTGCTTAATCTCACAATTCTAGTAAATGTGTACAAGTGTTCCCTGTATGGTTACAGATTTGTTCATTGAAATTTTTTTTCTTTAAGTATTTTGGGACTAAATTATTAAATAGAAGTTTAGAATCTTTATAGCTTCCTGCTTAAGTGTTACCTAAACATTATATATATAAGTTCTTTTTAACTCTAGTAATGCTTTTTGCACTTAGAATTATTCTGTGTGATATTAATATAGCTATACCTACTTTGTTTTGGTGACTGCCTGAAACATTTCTTTTCATCCCTTTGAGTTCAGCTTTTCTGTGTCCTTATGTGGTTCTTTTTTTCTTTTTCTTTTTTTACAACATTGTGTTTAATTTCTGCTGCACAGCAAAGTGACTCAGTTATACATATATATTTTTCATATTCTTTATCATTATGGTTTATTACAGAATATTGAATATAGTTCCCTGTCCTATAGGTAGGACTTTGTTGTTTATCCTGTGTCCTTATGTTTTAAGTATGTCTCTTATAAACAGCATAAAGCTCAACAACCTCCGCCTTTATACTGGCTTTTTAATCCATTATGATTAATCATCACCCAAAGAAAAGTCTTTGCAAAGGTTTTGATCTTTCATTTTCAGAATGCCTATCTTCATTCTAGTTCCTCAAAAAGCTCCAAGAGTCTTCATGTCACATCTTTACCTAAAAATCTCAATTGCCTATTTATCCTCTCCAGGTTAAAACACAAATCTTTTGGCATAAAACACAAAGCCATTTAGTCTGGACTAAGCCTGTCTTTTTCGTCAAATCCTACTACACCTGTCCATTTATAAGTACACAAAACTCCTAGTGTTCTTCAGAAATGATGTTCTTTTATACTTCTATGACTTTGTACACGCTGTCCAGAACGTGTCCATCTCTACTTATTCACCTTATGACAGCGTAGTCAATACCCTACCCTAAAAATCATCTCTTGTATAAGTTCTACAGAGAGAACTAGTCGCTCTTTCTCCGTACTTTTTTTTAGCTACATTGTAAGGCTTGTCTTCATGTATTATTATCTTATTATTTTAAATTATCATGTATAAAAAGCTCATCTGAGTAAGTAAAGTCTGAATTTCAGAATATTTAATCACACAGTTTACATTTACAATAGCTACATTTGTTAGTGTTTATTATTTACAAAGCACCTTACATTTCTTTTTTCATTTATTCCTCACATCAAGACAATATCATCTTGACTTAATAGATGAACAAACTGAGGTTCAAGAAGGTTAAATAGTTTCCCCAAGGTAACGAAGTCACTTAGAGGTAAAAACTGGCTGTTTAACTCCAAAACCTAAACATTTCCACTAAGTAATACTGCCTACCAAATATATATTGTAACCTGAACTATACTAACCAAATACTGCTGAGAAAATGTTCTTCTAAACTCATTTTAATGAAAAAATGACATAGATGGGTTTTGAGCAGTTTTTAGAAGTTTAAATGCACACACAAACAAATATTTATCTATGTATGACAACTTTTCAAAAAACACTTTCTTCATAACATTATTTATATAATAGAAGAAATTTTTAAAACATATTTTTGTTGCCAGAGAAGATAAAAATGCAAATTATGATTTTACCCTGTGTAAAACCTGCTAAAATTACATTATTTTATTGTAAAATCTCCTTAAACTAAAAAATTTTTCATCTTTATTAGTTTAAAAGTTAACATTCAAAGTTAATGGTGATATGGTCAAAGCTAACTAGAAAACTTTATCTTAAGATATGGTTTATACAAAATAGATATTTTTGCATTACTTATGTATTCCTAAAGGAAGACCCAACCACACTTTCTCATGAATTTAATTTCAGAAATAAGTAAGTATCATTTCATTGATAATCATTATCGGGCTTTAAGGAATTAATCCCAATTCAAAATGCCAATACCATAAAGTCCACATGTGAAATTTTTAATCAAAAACTTTAAAAAGTTAACGGACAAAAAAGAACATTAAATTTTCTACTGCCAAATTTCTGAAATTTTTTCACTTCAAAAACTAAGTAGAATTTTAAACAGGTACTATATTCTTTGTTTCTCCCCTACAAAAACAATTATTTGCTTTAAAAACACATACCTCTTTCCTTGTTTACTTTGTTCAAGTAAGTCTACCTTCAGCTTTATACATTCCTCTTGGGACTTCTGCAAACTCTGTTCCTTTTCAATCACCATTTTCTGACTCTGCTGTAATTTATCTTCTGCCTCTCTATAAAATAAAGATACTTTTAAAGGCTGTTGAAGAGATTGTTTCAGGTAAGCAAGAAATAGTTCAACATCAGGAATTCTATTAGTTTAAATCACTGAGTTAAGAGAAACAAATATTTAACAAGAGAAAGAGAAAAGGCATATTCATCACTTGTGAACTATTAGTTTTCATAAGGAATAAAAGGATACTTCTATCAGATGATAAATATATCTGAAATAAAAGATTATATCCTATTTAATGATCAGATACTAGAAGTATTAGATATATTTCAGAAATTAGATAAGTATGACTGCTATCACCACTATATCCAGTGATTTTTCTGACAGTTGCAAAAAGCTAAAATGAAAAAGTAGTAAGTATAAATTTTGGAAAAGAAAGACAAAATTCTTTTTTTTGCTGATAATATCATTAGCTACCTGGAAAATCCCAGGAGAATCAAAACAAAAATTAGAATTAATTAAAGGTATGACAAATAGTCCAATTACAAAATACTTATAGTATTATACAAAAAGCAGTAGCCTTCCTATATACTATCAATGAACAGAACAAGAACAAATTCACAACAACCAAAAATATAAAATACCTAGGAATAAACTTAACATATGTATTACAAAGAAAATTATGAAATTCTGATGGTCATGAGAGATGACTTTAGTGTGCATCAGAATCATCTGCAGGACTTGTTAAAACACAGATTGCTGGATCCCACCTCCCAGAGTTTGTGACTCCATAAGTCTGAGACAGGAACTGAGATCTGCATTTCTTACAAGTTCCCAGATGATGCTCATACTGCTGGTCGCAGAACTACTCTTTTGAGAATCACTAAAATGGAGCAATATGCTATTTAGTATGCATATATTTCTCATTTTATTCATAGCAGAAGAGGAAGATAAATTATAAAGTGCCTGATTCCTTGTATTTTATTTCTTGAACTCCCATCGAAGTACTGAGTACATATTACTATGTAGGGCAACAAGCAAACTAATTCATATTAATGAAAACACATAAATAAGCATCTCAGCTTAGATTTATTCTTTTTTAGCCCCTATATACTGCATGTATCCTGCAGCCAAGAGGAGTTATGATGGACTGAAAACAGAATCAACAAGTTCTAACTAAGACAGTCTATACACCAACATGGATTTATTGGGGTGCAGGACAAATTTTAACAAGACACGTCAAAAAGTAAAAGTAGAAAATAAATATTTTAAAGCTGTAAGTTTTACCTCAAAACTTTATCTTGGACTGAAACTTCTGCTTCCAAATTTATAATCTGTTCTTCTAAGATTGGTACAATGGCTGCCTGTTGTTCAGCAGATTCAAGCATAGAAACCTAAAACAAAGAACTTTTAGAGCACTTTCTTCACAAAATAAATTAATCGACTTTGTCCTTAGTTTCGTTTACCATCTGACAGTAGAACTCCCCAGTCATTGTTCATTGTTTGTGAAGCTCATCTTATCTATCAATTTATATGGGCATGTCATCATCACAAGCCAGTCTCAGCATGTAAGCTCCTGCCATTACCCTCAACTTAACATCCCAAGATAACTGGTTAGTTATTTGGGGAAAAAAAGAGAACCTCTACAGACTAATTTAAAGGTAAATTTATCTAAAAAGATAAATTTCACATACATTAGAAAATTAAATTTCAAAGACCAAATCATTTAAAATCACATAAAAATACTTACTGAACCTTGTTATTATTTAAAACCTAATTTTAGAATACATGCTTACTAGAGAAAACCTAGAAAATACAGAAAAGCATAGTAATCCTACAACTTGGAATATGAAGAGTGTAGGATGGTAGAAATCCACAACCTAAATGGTGTCTGGAAAAGAATACCAATAAGAGAACTAATTATCCCCCCAAAAAAGGAAGCATGAGATAATAGTACAGGGCAGGGATGAGGTCCAGGATAGAAAACTTGGGATATAGTTCCAACTCTGTTGATAAGTCCCTCCTTTTCCTACTCTCAGAACACCAAGAGTCACATGATGGCCTACCAAGAAGAGATAGAAAGTTATTATTATTATCTGGAGAATTGAACAGGAAAGGTTTGAGACTCTTGAGACATGGAATGACATGGAATGATGAGCAGGGATGAGGAAGAGTTAAAAACAAAGAGATTAATAAGGAACAGTCAGCTTCCAGCTTCCTACCCCACATCATCTGGGGCTACCCCACAGGTCAGAAATCAAAGGATTCTTTGCTGGAGAAACTCAAGAGCTCCAAAGAAAAAGACCTCACATATGGATGTTGGATAGGGGAAGGGAGATATCTCCCTACAAAAGAGCCATCTTCTCAACCATCACCAACAAATGAAGCCCAATGGACAACAAACTTCACCTTTGCACAGAGAGCTTCCAAAGAGCATTTAAGTGCCTTCTCTAAAATACAAATAGCCAAAACACCAATATCTGAAAGCTTCTATCACAAAAGTCAGAGGTCAAAACAAAAGAAAAAAGCAACTGGCAGCAGCCAGGCAAACATATACACACACACAAACACAGAGAATCATTAAATCTTCAGAGAGCTATGAGAAGATACTGCATCAGGATGTTATTAAGTACAAAACAATCAGAGAATGTGAAAAAGCTCCAGAAAATGAAAAATTATGAAAGCCAAAAATAAAAGATTCAATAGGATGACAATGTTGAGGAAATCACAGAAAAAGTATCGCAGGAAGACAAAGAGATGGAAAATACCAGGAAAAAACTTAAAAGATTTAGAGTACCAATCCAGGTTAGGAAAGATAGAAGAAAGAAAACAGAGTGAAGAAAATTATCAAAGATTACATAAGAAAAAATTCAGGGACCAAAGGACACAAGATTTCAGCCTAAAAGGGTCTTCATGTACCCAGCACAATAAATAACAGAGGTCTATTCCTAAAAACATAAGTGAAAAAACAAATGAAAAAATATATTACCCACTAGGAAAAGTAATTCACAACGGCATCAGATGCTTTAGAGACAAACTGGAGGATAGAAGACAAGAAAGCAATGTCCTAAACATTCTGAGGTAAAATAATTTTCAACCTAGAATTCAAAAAAGCGTGGGGGAGAACTTAAGAAATTTCAGACAGACAAGGAAGCTACTAGAAACATGCTCCAACTAAAGAAAGAGCAAACCAAGAAAAATGACATGGGATCAAGGAAACAATAGACCCAACCTAGACGAACATCAAAGAGAAGTCCCAGGAGAGCAGCTGGGCAGCAGGTCTGAAGGGCAATAAGCTCAGAGAGAACAAGATGCCAGTCTCCAGAAGTGTGTAACTACTGTACAGACACTGCTAAAAGGTAAATTATGAATATGTTGATCGGTACAATGGGGAATTTCAGCAAAAGGTTTCCAACAGTAGCACATATGCAAAATAAAAGCTAAGACCTGCCCTGGAAAAGGCAGCCTCCCTAAAAAATATTTCATCAGGCAATTTAGAAAATGCTGAGATGGGAAGTAAAACACAAATATCTGTCTTACTGCCTAGAATAAACACTGGTGTATTTACATGCTCAAAAAAAGGAACAAAATGCTAATAGTTCAGTAATTATTAGCAAAACTCTTTTACTATCTCTTAGACTTTAAATAATTAAGCCTCTATGACTTTAAAAAGAATCTATAGTTGATTAAAAAATTAAAATACAATTAATAAACAGAAAAGGTAAACAGACACATCAAAAGAAATCTAAATGACACACTGAAAAGGTAAACTTCATAAGAAATCAAGAAAAACAAAATAATTTTCCCTCAAAGATATTTAAAAATATAGATATGTTTAAAAATAATAATAATACTGAATGTAGACAGAGTGCAATAAATGCCTGAAAAAATTATTTCTCTGTGATTTGACCATTCTGAAAATCTAACCTAGAAATAATCCCAAACACCAAAAAAGTTTTATGTTCACTGTAGCATTTTTTCTCCTTAGGCTCAACAGTACTTTGCTTTGTTTGAAAAGTACAAAATAAAGACCTCCCATAACTCTACTACTTAAAACAATACATTTAAAAAGTAAATAGCTAAAGTTTCACTATGACCCTCCAACCGTTTCCAAAGTTATCAACAATATAGTGGAGCAGTCCTTCTGTCCTTATATTGATATATGTTATATGTATATCTACATACATTCACACACATAGACACGTGCTCATTTTATAAAAAACAAAACAGATTATTGTGTGTGTGCATGTATGTGTATGTGTTTTGCTCTGTAATGTTTTTCTACCACTAAATATTTTAGGTAAGTTTTTGAGTGTTGACTGTGCAGATACCATTCTAAGTGCCTCTACATATATCATTTAAACCTTACAAAGTTCTATAAAAGTAAAACAACTCTGCATTTACCTTAAAAAAAAAAAAGCTTAGTAGCAATCCATTATATGGATATATCATAATTTACTTTACCATGTCTCTGTTATTGGACATTTTGGTTTCTTCTAATTTTTTGTATACCAATCATATAGAAAAATATAGGAAACCATATAAACAGGGGAGCTATTAATTAAATTATGGTATACTCACATAAGGAAACATAATACTACCATAAAAAATGATTGTTGGGGACTTCCCTGGTGGCCCAGTGGTAAAGAATCCGCCTTCCAACACAGGGGACACAGGTTCGATCCCTGGTTGGGGAACTAAGATCCCACATGCCGCAGGGCAAATAAGCCCGTGCGCCACAACTATTGAGCTTGTGAGCCTCAACAAGAGAGCCCGCATGCCACAAACTACAGAGCCCATGCACCCTGGAGCCCCACATGCTATAACCAGAGAGAAAACCGAGCTCCACAACTAGACAGAAACCCGAGTAGACCGTGTACCGTAACAAAAAAATCCCGCATGCCTCAACAAAGATCCTGTGTGCCACAACTAAGACCTGATGTGGCCAAAAAAAATAAGGAAAATAAATAAATAAATAAAATATTTTAAAAAAGAAGTCATATTAAAAATGATTGTTGGAAAAGCTACGTAAATGCATCCAAAACTGCTCAGACTATGTAAGAAGTATAATACAATTCCAGAAAAAAAAACTATTCAAACATGTAATATTTAACTATGTAATAAACCAATAAAAGCAGTTTCTAGATGTTGGAAACTGGGTTATCTTTCACCCTTTTCTTTTTTCTATTTTTGAACTTTTCAGCAATGAGAATGTATTATTTTAAGAAGGAAGATAAGTAAGCTATATATTTCCTTTGTACACGAAGTAAAACCACACAAATTGATAATCTTAAGATTTTAAGAAGTTCTGAATTATCTAAATGCATAGGCTATACAAGTTCCCCTAAATAATTTTCAGATATTAAATTCACATAAAATTGATTCTATAACATGTTGATACTATATCATAATAAAAATTATTATACATAACACATTAAGGCAATACAAGGAATATTTTTCCAATTATAAATCTTAAGATGATTACAATTATTTTCTGTTGGCATAGTCACCACTTCAAGAAACATACTTTTGCTCTTGACTGTGTCAATTCAAAGTGGACAGATTCTATTTTAGTCATTAAAGAATGATTCTGTGAGACCAAACAAGCATTCTGTTGCCTAAGTTTATTAAGTTTCTCTCGAAGACTTTTGATTTCCTGATCCACAGGGGTAGAAGATGAAAAAGACATCTGAAAAATGAAAAAGGACAATTTATTTTGAATTATTTCACTAAGCATTACATGTAATTAATGGAAATAATGAACAATTATCAATAAAATGACTAAGTAGCTCAGAAAAATGGCTTAAGATAGTCAGTGTTGGTGAGGATATGAGACAATCAGCACTCTCTCCTCCACTGCTGGTGAACATGTACATAAATAAGTTCAGCCTGGAAAACAGTGGTATACTTTGGAAAAGTTCTTGGTTTATCCAGTAAAGCTGAACATGCTAAGACTCAACAATATTACTCCTGGGTATAAATCTGATAGAAACTTTTACACTTTTGCACCTGAAGATTAAAGACATAAAAATGATAAGAAATGAAATGCCCACAAACAACAGAATGGATAAATTATTATTTAACCGTTTGTATATTTCTATTATACTCTTTTGAATATATATTTTACAATAAATTATTTTAATTTTCATGGGAGTTGAGGTTTTCAAAACATTTAATTTTATTTTTTTGAATAATATATTTATGCAATTCAGAGTCAGAATTATATATTTTTAAAAAGTACATACAGAAGTATCATTCCCATCTTTAGTAGATAGGTAACCATTTTTACAAGTTTCTTGTTTATAAATTTTTGTATAACATCAATCAGCAAAAAATAGGAAACTCCTTATATAGGAGAGTCATTAATTAAGTTAGGATCTTAAACCTAGTCTTCTAGTGTTTCCATACACATATACAAGCAATACAAATTACTGACCTCACCCCCAATAGCTCCTAATACAAAACCAGAAGAGTATGTATGTTGTTCTGCACCTTGCATTTTTCACTTGAACAACATATCCTGGCAATCTCTCCAAATCAATTCACTGAGAAACCCCTATTCTTTTTTTTTTTTAACCCCCTTAGCTGCAGTTTCTATTCCATGCTTATTCAACCAACTAGACAAATGAGATACTTCTAGTCTTCCGTTATGACAAACAATGCCTTGTTTTGTACTTATGCAGGTACTTTTCCAGAAATGGGATTTCCAAGTTAAGGGTAAACGCATTTGTGGTTTTGGTAAATATTACCAAATGCCTCTCCACTGAGGTTGTATCACTTTGCATTTCTACCAGCAATGTATGAGAATGCCTATTTCCCCCTAATATCACCAATAAGAGTGTCAAATATCTGGATGTTTAATAATCTGGTAGTGAATTTCTCTTATTATGACTGAGATTGAACATCTTTTTATTTGTTTTAATTTCCTTTTCCATTCATGTCTTTTGCCCATATTTCCAATGGGTTGATGATTTTTCCTTATTTCTAGGAGCTTTTTACATATCAAAGAGATTAGCCCTTTATCTTTAATAGGCATTACCAATATTTTTCCCCCTCTGATTCGTCATGTAACTTGTGATTCTGCTTAGGGTAAAACACAATGATTTCAATGAAGGCATATATATAATAAAAACAATCAGCAATTTGAATTAGGGTAGAGATCAAATTTCCCAAAATTACATAATCTTTGCAGACATGGAATTTGAATTCATTTTCTAAAATGTAGGCTCAGATAGCTTCATCAAGTAGCTTCCTTACAAAAAGAAAATCTCTCAACTGCTGGCTTTCTGAAGTGGGAAGAGGAAATTTTTATCAAGAAAGAGTATGATGTACATATGCAACCATATGTATATATGCATGCTGCCAATTGGGGTAACAAAAAATAGGAGGAAGAGGGTGGAAAAAGAGATAAAAGGGTTGAGTAAGGAAGAGGAGTATACATAAGGAGACAGATAATACGGCCAAATAAAAAAGAGGAAGAGAGAGTGAGTTCAAGACCAGGAAAGATGTCTAACATCATCCACAAAATTTAGAGATAATGAATGGAGCACCTGATCCAGGCTAAACAGTAAGTACACTTTAATCACTTAATAAGCCATGATTACCTATTACATACATGGTACAGTACTAAAATCAAGAGGGTTACAATTTACTTGAGAAAACAAGATTAATTGCAAAAAGGTAATAAATGTAGAAGTTTTAAAATAGAGTAATACACCAAAATAACTGCTCTCTTGTTAGGACAGAACAAGAACCATTATATTTAAATTCAAAGAGTCTGGAGTACTAAAAACTATGGAAAACATGAATAAGGTATTTGAAGAAAGAACTCAAAGAAAAAGCATTTTAAGTAGACAAGTCTAAAACTAAAACTACTTTTAAGTAGGCAGGTCTAAAAATAATAACCTTATCTCTTGGCTTTTTTTGAAAATCAGTACCACTATTGGGCATTTTACAAACTTTTTTGTAAGGTGAGTAATTCAAAAGTCCAAGCTGGCTAGGCTGAGAAAGATCTTCCAGAACGAGCCTTTCAGACCTTGAGAGATTAGAGGCATAACCAGAATTTTCACGTGGGCTAACACTAGAAAAAAAGAAAAAATACATTTTAGTTCTTAGGTACTTTAAGTATTCACTCTAAATTTCTATACATTAAATAAGAAAACAGAAAGAAAAGCACCTGAAATGTTGCTGAAAATCAGATTCCAGAAATGAACTTAAGGCGTTGCAACTAAATTTTTAAATAAACCATAATTAGTTTTAAACTAGCAATCTATGTTTCTGGAGCCTCTATGCTAGGATTACTTAAGATTCAAAAAACAGCCATAATAATAAAAGATTAATTAAGCCTACACATATATTTTATACTCTGAGTCCTAATATATTCTTTAAATTTTATTTATTTATTTATTTATTTATTTATTTTTATTTTTGGCTGCACTGGGTCTTCGTTGCTGCGCATGGGCTTTCTCTAGTTGTGGTGAGCAGGGGCTACTCTTCATTGTGGTACGCGGGCTTCTCATTGTGGTGGCTTCTCTTCTTGCAGAGTACAGGCTCTAGGCGTGCGGGCTTCAGTAGTTGTGGCACGCAGGCTCAGTAGTTGTGGCTCGTTGGCTCTAGAGCACAGGCACAAAATTTGTGGCGCATGGGATTAGTTACTCCACGGCATGTGGGATCTTCCCGGACCAGGGCCTGAACCCGTGTCTCCTGCATTGGCAGGCGAAGTCTTAACCACTGTGCCACCAGGGACTGAGTCCTAATATATTAAAGGTCTTAATATGTAAATGCTTCTCTAATAGTTCTTTTTCCTAAACTGAACTATCCTAAATTATTTTTTTTTAAATTATAGAACATTATTCTCTACTCTGGACACATCAGAAACACATCATATAATAATGATATTCACACATTTACATTCATAAATTAAAGTCCTACTCAGAATTGTACACGTAATTTTACTCACTCACCTAGATAACTCTTCCCCTAAACTCTGCAAACTCCATTCTGTTATCTTCAGTTCATGTCTTAAGGAAGCAACATTTGCCAGCAAACTTTCCTCTTCATTGTCTTTATTATAGTAGTCTGAGGAACTAGACTCCATTTCCTAAAAAAGAAATGAATTTCTCACACCTTGCCTGAAAGAATCTGTGGTTTCAGTCAAAATACTTTCACACTAGTAAAATTTAACTCATTATTTTTCTATTTCAAATGTTGTGAAATCTTTCATGGTTAATTTAAAACAAAGCAAAATGAAACAAAACACCCAGCAACAATGAATTTCTCAGCGTGTTAAGCTATAATGGAAAGTTCAACAGAATTTCAGTGAATCAATTTTTCATTATAGCCAGGGACTAGTTATTAAAGTTCCCCTTTTCTAAGCATCTTTAATCTTCTAACAATTGTGTAGACTAAGTGTTTTTATTCCATGTTAAAGATGAAGAAACTAAGAATAAGACAAACAACTTGCTCAAGGTCACACAAACTGTAAATGGTGGAACCAATATTTGAACCTAGGTCATCAGGATCCAAAGATCTTTTAATTATGTCACACTGTAGTTTTCTTATTTATTATAGATTTTCCATATGAACTTACATAATCATGTTACAGCTGTGAACATCTGACAAAACTGGTATCATTACAGTCATTCATATTTTCTTTTTTTTTCTATTTTTTTTTTTTTTGGCTGTGTTGGGTCTTTGTTGCTGCATGGGCTTTCTCTAGTTGCAGCAAGTGGGGGGCTACTCTTCATTGCGGTGCATAGGCTTCTCATTGCAGTGGCTTCTCTTGTTGCAGAGCATGGGCTCTAGGTGCACAGGCTTTAGTAGTTGTGGCAAATGGGCTCAGTAGTTGTGGCTCACGGGCTCAGTAGTTGTGGTGCACAGGCTCAGTAGCTGTGGCACACGGGCTTAGCTGCTCCATGGCATGTGGGATCTTCCCAGACCAGGGCTCGAACCCATGTCCCCTGCATTGGCAGGCGGATTCTTAACCACTGCGCCACCAGGGATGGCCTCATATTTTCTTAAAGGTAATTTATTACCACAGAAAGCTTATCCCCATCTCCCATTCGCCATGGTTATAAAATTTAAAACCACACACTCACGTTCACATCACAACCACAGAGATCAAAATGACATTTAGCAGGTTAACTCACAGAAATATATAAAGAAAAGCTTTTGTTTCTTCAACTGATGGGTATCTCAAGGGTTGTGAAATTCTCTACTAAGTAGCTTTGCACATAAAAAATCATGATAAAGTACCGCCTTTTACTATTAATTAATATACATAATTATCACGAATTAATAATACAATTAAGATGAAGGCTTTATAATCTCTACTACTCCTATGCATCTTCTTGCATAATCTTAAAATTACATTCCTCTTTCAGATCCTATTTACCTTTGTCATTGTAGCATCTCTTTTATCACCCTTCTAGAAATCTGACCACATCTCAAGCTCCAAAAGGTTAGGAGTCCTGTGTATTATATTCAGGACTATAAGGCACTTAGTGAAACTCAATATTTTCAGTGAATAAATGATGATTACTAAACTGTCCTTCCTTCCCCTCATCTAGCTAAAATAATATGACAAATTCATTCCACACTCAAAATTTCTCAGATGTAGGGAGGAAGATTAAAAAGAAAACTCTCACCTTATTGGAAGAAAATGGCAGGAAATTAAATGAGATGCTATGGAATCTTAGTAGAGAAAATGTTTCTATCCTCTTTCCTCTTTTGTTTCCACAAATTTGCTTCTGCTTAAATGAGAAGACTCTCCCATACACAAGTCAATGGTTCAGGTCCCCATTCTGCTTTCTTTTGAACATCTCTAGTTCCCTACAGGATGGTGAAAGAAAAAAGGGTTACGAAAATTTAGGCAAATTCTAAAATGCCATTCGACATTGTTTCGACTAAATCAGGTTTATGTCTAACATCTTCTGTATATTTTCATGTAAGAATTCTCTAACCCTTCTTAAGTATCAATGAAAACGTTTGCTATGCAAACATATTTTCATTTTCCTAGTAGGCCATTTATTATCTTTAAAAAAAAAGATTCCTGGGACTTCCCCGGCAGTCCAGTGATTAAGACTCTGCGCTTCCACTGCAGGGGGCGCAGGATGGATACCTGTCAGCGATACCCGCCTGCCATGCGGTGCGGCCATTTATTTTAAATAAATAAATAAATAAAATAAAGATTCCTCCTCCCTTCAACTGACAGTAGTTATGAAGTCTAGCTTCATTGCCTGTACATACGTGGAAAAGCACATCATGCTACCGACAGGCCCTGCCTTCTTTTGGCCCTAGTAACAATGCTTTTGTAGGTATACACACGCACACCCATCACACCGAAAAACAAGTGTTCATTATACTCCCTGTATGTAAAAAGATGGGCTGTAGTCGAAAAGTATTCCTCATTTTGGAAGGAGGTCATGGCTTTATATAGTACTGTCTTGTACCAAGAACGCTCAATTTGACAGAACTGGCCCTTCGTTCATCTGGAAGAAGTGGAGGAAAACATGACAGCTTCCTTTCCGATTTTTCGTCAACTAAAATACAACCCTGCAGAGCAGCGTGCGCAGCGAGGGCGAGGACCAGACGAAACACATCCGAGCGTACCGACATGGAAAGGAACAAAACTCCTTCAGGTAGGCGGGTTTCCACCCTCCAGGGGCAGTCGCTCACCACCCAAGTCATAGTTGTGACAGAGACCCACCGACGACGGCACACGCCGCGCTCTCCGCTGCGTTCGGAAACTTCGGACCCTCTGCCGGACCCCAAGCGTGGAACCCAGCCACACCACGCGGGAAACTAGCGAAGCCCAGCTGCCGCGAGGTTAAACCGCCGCGGGAGCCGTTGGGGACGTCCCGCCCCGCCGCAGCCCCGCCCCCCGCGAAGACTCTGCGTGTAGCGACGTCGGACGCGCGGAGCCTGTTGGGGATTGTGGTCTGCGAGCGCGTCCGAGCCTGCCCACCCGGAACTACATTTCCCACAATTACTGCCAAGACGCCCATTGGTGTGAGGGACGCCTTGAGAAGCTGCGGCCGTCTGGGTGTCGAGCGGGCGCGCTCACGCGGGGCCTGAGGGAGCCAAGACCCGGGAGGGTGTGGAAAAGGACTGCTGGCTCCGCCCTCAGCCCCTACCCTTTGTAGGCCGGCGTTTTCCCTTCTGAGAAACGCCCCTCCGCCCCGGCCTTCACCTGGAGTTTCTTCAGGCTCCAGGTTTCCCTGCCAACCACGAGGAGTCCAAGGAGGAAAAAGCGGAGCATAGGCGCCTATAACCCACGCCTCCCACGCCTTTTCCAGCCCGAGATCGCCCAGGCAGGGATGGGCGTCAAGATCTGGCTGCCCTTCCCGGTGGTCCTCTTGGCCTCTCAGCTGCTGCCTGGGGCGGCCGGCTTCACGCCCTCCTTAGACAGCGACTTCACGTTCACTCTTCCGGCCGGCCAGAAGGAGTGTTTCTACCAGCCCATGCCCCTGAAGGCCTCGCTGGAGATCGAGTACCAAGTAAGTGCAGAGGTTGAGCCAGCCTCCTTCCTTTAGCCTAGCTGCACGTCGTCGCCTCTCACCGGCTTAGAAACTTCTTGTGGACGAAGGGGTGCTGAAGAGGCGAGGGCTGCCTGGAAGCGGCCAGCTCCGCGCCAGCACGCGAGGCGAGGCTCTCCCCGGGGTTGGGGACCGAGAAGTTAGGCGGGACCTGGAATTGACTACCCCCACCCCTCCCCTTTCCTCCGGTCGGAAAGAGGCCAGCTCTGGTGATGTCGGTGGTTTTTCTCTTTGTTTCATAATTCACCTGTGTCTTTTCTAGCCAGTACACACTTCAATACTGGGAATTTCACATTACAGGCCTAATACACGTTCTCCTTAATCATTGGACTAGATGATGACACTTGGCGTTAATAACCCCCACCACCTTCACTCAGTTCCGGTACTGTAAATCTATACTGTCATTGCTTCAGTTAAGGATTTTTGAACTGTGACCTGACCATGTGATTATCACTAAATCCTATTTCGGAATATTTTGAAAGGGGCTATTGATGTGTTTAATGGTACATTTCCTTCTCAGTTATATACCCCTTATTTAAAAACCAAATAAGATCTAACTGTATATTAAAACTTTGTAATCTTTCGTTCAGCATTCTAAGCATTTCTCCCATATCATTGTTTTCTTTTTAGTACCTGCGTAATATTATAGGGAATTGCCTTAATTTATGTGGTCATTCTGGTAGAGGGTAATTTCTTAGAAGAAGTCTTGTAAGCTCCAATACAGCAAATTTCGATGTTTCTAAGTAGCCCTGGGCGGGGGGGGGGCGGGGGGCGGGGAGATGCCTTGGTGTGGTTCATCTCAATTTTTTTACAAGTTACCTAATTTTTAATCAGATGTTAATTTTTTATAGCTGATGTAGAGAATCTTTTCCAATAACAGGTACTGTCACATATAGAGCAAAATAAAGTTATTTAGAATTTTCCTCTGAAGGAACTTTAGAATTAGATTATTTATAGATGCATAGGGTAAACATAAAGAGTAAAGTATCTAAAGTCACACAGTTAATGAGCAACACTGAGGCAGGAGCTCAGCATTCCTTGATTTCCAGTCCAATTCAAAAGTTCATTTACTGAAGTTACCATGTGCCAGTAATGGAGAAGTAGAGACAAGGACACGGGGGAAGGGACAAACAACAGAAAGAACCCTTTTCAAGGATCTTAATCTTTAAAAGTTACTGGCTCATAAACAACTAATTTCAATAAAGTATGGTTAGATGCTGTTGGAGGAGGGCTTCTTCTCTGGGGTATCAGAAAAGAATTCCTGGAGAAAATAAATTGGAATCTAAAAAGATGCTTAGGTGAGACAGGAATGCCAGGAAGAAGGGGCATTTCAGGAAAAGGATCAGAATGAATAGACAGTTCTGAAAATGCATAGTGTTAGTGTTCTAGCAGTGGGCAATATGTAGTGGACGCTAGAAGTGCTGAGTTTTCGATGGACCTTTAAGACTATAAAGTCTAGGGTGGGAGTAGAAAAGAGAGAGGTTGGAGGGGTCAGGAGGCTGGATCGTGGATCATGAATCTTAGCTTGTGTGCCATGCTGAGTAGCTCTGACCTTTGTCTGTATAAGGGCCATTGAAGATTAAGCAGTGTGGTAACTGTCAAAAATGTTTTACAGTGTGGAAGATGGATTTAAAGAGGGCAAAATTAGAGGTAAGGAAACCAAATGGGGTTAGAGAAATAGTCCAGATAAGAAAACAATTTTTATTGTTCAAAATTCATCAGTATTTACTGAGGTATTAGGAAAGAAATCTATTTTAAACCACTGACCTCTTATGATTGAGAGCTCCAACTGTAGGAAAAAAATGCCTGGGCTGAAATCCTGACTCTGGCACTTACTACCTGTGTGATCTTGAGCAAGTTACTTAACCCCATACTTTTAAAATAAAGATAATAATAGTAAGAGTTGATTTGAAACAATTAGTTAATAAGTGTTCATGTACCATCGCTGACACATAGTAAAGGTTCAATATATGTTAGTTTTTTTACATTTACACTTCTAGAGTTATATAGGTGGTATGGCTTAGCTTTATACTTTGCATCTTTAATCACTGAAAGGGACTATTCCCCTAAAGCATTCTGCCTAAACAATTTGTTTTGATTGAGAAAAGAAGTAAAATCATTAAATGTCCGCAGTCCTAGACAATGTTAGAAGGGTTTAAAGGGTAGAAATCATCTTCAACCCTTTGTCTGCATTTTCCAACTCTGTGATTAATTTTCCAATAACTACAAGCTACTGGGTTTTGTCTTAGTTTTTAGAATGTCAGGGAACAGACTTTCTAGACATTGCCCTTGGCTTACTGTGACATATCGAAAAATTTTAACTGTTTCACACTTTTTGGGTTTAAGAGGACACTTTTAGGATAATTGACCAGCCCCACAATATATTAAGTTCTTGAAATTTTGAAGTGTCAATATATATATCTTATGAATAGAATAGATCATTCATTTAAATTTTTAAATCGTTGAGCGCTTAATTTGTGTAAGCTTTATGCTAGATACTACAGATACAATGGTGAGTAAAAATATAGTCCGTGCACTCATGCAGTCTAGTTAAAGGGATAGACATTAGTCAAATTATTACACAAATAAATGTGATATTAGAACTCTAATAAGTGCTATGAAGTGAAGCTAAGTGCATAAGCTATGAGAGTGTTTAACAGAAGGACTTGATTTCACAGTGGGAATTGAGAGAAGACATCCCAGAAGAAGTGGAGTTCAGATCTGTAGAAGAATCAGGCTTACTAGGGATAAGGGGGTGGAGCAAGGTGATGGATAAAAAGAACAGCATGTGGCAATCCAAGGCTTTGAGGAAGAAGACTGAAGAACACCTTTGAGGGACTGGAAGACTATGACAGAAAGGTGAAAGTGGGACTCGTCCATCATGATCTATTGAAGTCACTGGGAAGTTTAGTTTTAGATTTATGGTATTGTTTTATTTTATATTTTAGATAGATATTTTGTATATTTTAAAATTAGCTTCTTTTTTTTTTTTTTTTTTTTTTTTTTACTGTTGTGGCCTCTCCCGTTGCAGAGCACAGGCTCCAGACACCTAGGCTCAGCGGACATGGCTCACGGGCCCAGCCGCTCCGCGGCTCACAGGCCCAGCCGCTCCTCCCGGACCGGGGCACGAACCCGCGTCCCCTGCATCAGCAGGAGGACTCCTAACCACTGCGCCACCAGGGAAGCCCAGCTTCTGTATTTTTAAATACCATTTTTAATGATTTCATTAAGCCTGACAGTCACTACCAATAATATTTTTTGTTTTACTCAAGTCTTTGCTTAGTTTTGTCACATTACTTACTTTTTGGTTTAATGATATGGTTTTTGGTTTTTGGAGGAGAACCTTGAGTAATTCTTTCAGAACGCTTTGAGTCCTTGGATATCTGAAAATGGCTTTACCTTTTGCTTTCTCTTCAGTAAATATAATTTTTTTACTTGGAAAAATTGAAGACATGGCTCCCTTGTGTTTTTTTACATCTAGTGTATATATGCAAGAATGCTGATGCCATCCCAGTTCTTGTTATTTTGTAGTTCTCTACTACTACTCTTTGGAAGTTTCTAGGTTGTTCTTTTTAAATCCTTTGGAAAAGTCATTAGGATTTTTGGATCTTTTTTCATTTATTCTGCTTCACATCTATTAGACTCTTGCAGTCTAAAGATTTTTATCTTTTGGAGCAGAACTTTTTATTCTCTTATTTGATAACTTCCTGTCCATTTCTCTTGGTTCTCTCTTTTTGAAATGCTTTATTAGGTGGGTATTTGAAATCTTTAGCTCTGTCCTTCATAAAGGTCTTACCATTTCCCTCATACTTTTCATCTATACTTTTTCACCTTGTTGTGAGAATTCCTTGGCTCCTTTTAGTTCTCTGATTTTTAGTCTCCATCCATGCCCATTCTGCTGTCATTACATTCGCTAAAGCTTTATTTGGGCAATCACATTTTTGGTTTTTCTAAGAACTTTTTCATATCAGCATCTTCATTTTCTGTAGATTTTTACATTCTTGAATTTCTCTGAGGATGTATATTACATTTACCTGAGAAAACATATTTTTAAGTCTGTTTACATTATTTTTTCAGAATTTGATCCTCTGAGAAAAACCAACAACATGAAAGAGAGGGCATCAGTTTCAACAAATATTTGGTGTCTCTCTAGTCTGTTTTGACAATTTTGAGATTGATAGATATTGGTAGCTAGATGTATTCTTTGCTCAGTGGAATATCTTCCAGAAATTCCTTACTCTTCAAATCCTTTAACAGCTTTCCTAGATTTCCAGTGTTGTTATAGATTATTTATATCGTTATGTTTTCTTCATTTCATTGGGATTTAAAGAAGAAAAAGAACTATGTATATTTAGCTAGCCATTTGAAACCAGTTCTGTTGATCAGTAAGTACAGCACAAGAATAGGTAATCTATCATTCCATTAAAGCCACCAAGAAAAATAAAATGGAGTTATAATAGAAAAAGAGTAGCCTCTGAAGGCAGATTGCTGAGTTCAAATTTTGACCATGCCACTTATTTACCATATCACCTTAGGCAACCTTCTCTGTGCCTGTTTTCTGTGGGTATTTTTTTGGGGGGGGGGGTTGTTTTGTTTTTTTAGGCTAAAATGAAAATAATAGAACCTTCCTTTTAGAGTTGTTGTGAGGAATAAATCCACATAAAGCACTTAAAACAATGTGTGGCATAAAATGTAATTGTTAGCTGCCATCATCATTATCATCATCATCATTGGGACATTCTGAGATTGTAAAGGAACAGGTACTTTCCTGTTTCCTGTACTTATTCTTTGGCCGATAAGTAAATGGCCTGCTTGGAATATATAGTTCATATTGGGAAATAATAGGTATTGCTTGAAAAAGTCAGTTGGAATCAGATCATAGAGGCCTTGAGTTCCAGGCTAAGAAGTAGCTAGTTATTATTTTATTGAGGAGGAAACAAACTCAGAAAAGTTACATAGCAAGCGCTAAATTGCCCAAGGAAAAGGGTCTACCAATTGAACTACCTTCTGCGTTTCTACTCTACAGGGCATCTGTTTTAAGATTATTTCAGTAATACCCGTAAGACCTAAATTTAAGTGATTGCAACAGGAATTGGCAAGAAAGGGACAAGTTCAAAAATGAATGGAATTGAACCAAATGGTCTTTCTGCTCCTTTTTACCCTAACATGAGTCTTTTCACTTTCTTACCCCTCTAGGTTTAGAAATGAAATCTTTTCATCATATGATCTACTTAATATAGCTTTTTATTTTTGGAATTTGTAAAATGTGCTCTTCTCTTCTATGCCTTCCTACAGGTTTTAGATGGAGCAGGATTAGATATTGATTTCCACCTTGCCTCTCCAAAAGGAAGAACCTTAGTTTTTGAACAAAGAAAATCAGATGGAGTTCACACGTAAGTAATCTCTTAGTTGGGTTCCTTCATCTGAATACCATTGGGCACAGGAAAATTAGCACATTTGATACTAAATGTTAGCATTAAATGATTCCATATGAACATTTTAAACAGTCCTTGTTAGTGATCTATCTTAAACTAAAATGTCATCCATTAATCTTATCTTTTTGTTTAGGCATTTTCTTTTGATCTTGACTAAGTTTTTGTTTGTTTGTTTTTTTTGCTTTGGTTAATGAGTATACCATAGGTACTGCATTAAATCTATTGTGGCATTTTAAACCTGCCTTTCTGACTAGCACAGGCTTTTTCTATTTTAACTATAAGTTACTGTTCCAGGTAAATATCTTAAAGTTTCTTGAACTACTGGCTATATCATTTTTGCCCATTGTTTTCTTAAAACAACAGTACAGTAATACATCTTTGTGTTTGTGTAAATTTTTATTTTACTCGAACCTCATTCTTTTTAGATAATTAGAAGATCTGCAAGTAAAAGATCTGACCATAGGAAACCATATAGAAATAAAATACTTTTTATAACTCTGAGTTTAGAGTTTGATAAAAGCCCATATATTATATCTCTTATATCTCATTTCTCTTTTTTCATATCTCACTGGTGTTTCCTTATTTCATTCTATTATTTTACTGCAGCACTTTCTTTACTCAGTATTGTTATCGTGTTTAAACTGTGAGTATATAGGAATAAGATCAAATATAGAGTGTCTAACATTTGCCATAAACTACTAGACTTTGCATTTTATATGCTTCTAAATTAATCATTCCAGCCCACTGTGAGAGATAGATTCTTTAATTCCCCAATTCCCATTTTACAGACAAGGAGGCTCAGGGAAATTAAGTAAGTCTGCAGGGATACACATTTATTAAGAGGAGGAGGCAGGATGAACCCAAATTCTTGCTTTCTACCATACAATGCTTAGAACATCTCTGGCACATAGCACTATGTAAGTACTAGCTATTTATAATCATTGGCCTTTGTTAACCAAAGTACCTGCCATGTAATTGATACTCAGTAAATACTGAATACATGTATGAGTGAACAAGGTGGGGAAAATGTTTCAACCATAATTTTTTAAGTGCTTTTGAAAATGGTCTTACCTATACAGAGCTCTAAAAAAAATTTGCATAAACTATTGATAAATAAAATCAGAAGTGGTAATTTAAAAAATCAGTTAAGATTGATATGCCAGAATTAAGTATGCTTTCTCTTTGATAGGTGTATGAACAAGAACTAAAAATGTAGTTCACCTTTAAATTTCAGAATATAGAAAAGGTATAGAATTTCTGTCAATTTTAATTTCCAATTTTCTGCTTTCATTTAGAGATAAATTAAAATTAACTGTTAGGGGGAAAAAGGTATCTTATTGCTTTCTTGCATAGAATTACCTCTCATTAAACCACTGGGAGAAAAGAAAGAGTTTATAAGAGTTCACATTTATCGAGTTCTTTTGATGTGCCAGATCACGGTTCTAATATGCACTTTACATGTATTAATTTTTTTTTATTCTTCCTTCCCCACAGTCCTATGAGGTACATGATATTATTATCATCTTACCAATGAAGAAATTGAGGCATAGAGCAGTTAAGTAAGTTGCTGAAGGTTACACAGCTAATGAACAGCAAAGCCAGGATTTAAGACCAGTCAGTCCAATTCACTCTTAATCACTACACCAGATTTACAAATCTACTTTCTAAAAATTAGATTTAAACAAAAATTTATCTTTAGGTATATTAACTTTTTAAAGGCAACTAAAATCTGGGTTATACCACCAAAACAGTTTTTTTCTTAAATTAAATCTTTAAAACAAATGCTATCCTTCCAGAAGTCAGCGTTAGTAAAAATGTCTCCAGACAGAGCCTTAAACTGCTTAATACCTATTTGTCCAGTACTATCATATATAAAAGCATTTTTCTAGACCACTGAATTAATATTACCTTAACTCACACCATAACTTATAAATTTTGGACCAGTTATGCTAATTCTTTTTCTACTTGAAAGGAAAATTTACTCTATATGCTTTTATTTGGATAATATTTTATATCATTTGTAGTAATAATATTCCTTTCTACTAAAGGTAGTCAACACAAATTTAGAAATATAGGAATGACTATAAAGTAATAAACATCTTTTTTTTGTATACACATGTTGAAGCTCATACATCTGAGTCAGTGCTTCTCAAATTTTTTTCATTTTTACCCCTGTCCCCATACAACCTTTTTTAGGCATTTTTTTTCCTCATCATCTGCCATGAAATTTTAATACCAAAGATACACTACATGCCCCCTTTTTTTTTAACTTTATGTATATCTGTGCTTTATATATAAAAAGAATAGGTACAAAGCTTACCCTTTTTATCCAATTCAGGGTTAAGAATGACTAAATAAAGTTGGGTTAAATAAAATTAAGACTAAAAATTAAAAGTTAGATTAAAAAGTTATTAACATTAAATTTAACTTTATATTTTCTGAATAACTTTTAATATAATTTATCATATATTGTGTCCATTACACAATATTGCAAATTAGCAATTTATATACATAATAGCAATGTAATTAAAATTTTTAAAATCATTCCAAATATTTTTCAAGAAAAGTAGAATGATTTAAAAAATTACATTAACTTCTTAAAAAGTACTTTTAGTGACCTTAACTTTTAGCTTTTGCTTGATGTGGGAAAATAACTTTAGCTACTCAATAGTCATTCAGATATTATTGACTTTTTTTCCCAGTGTTTGGCATAATTGATGATGGGTTGAATAACCTTTGTAAAAAAATAATAAAATATAAACTAGTTTTATTCAAATCTTCCCCCAAAATGCAAAGATTAAGAGATAAAATGTATGAAAGCATTGTGTAAATTATGAAGGAATATACAAGTGTTGACTATTTTTATTTACAGTATATATGCTAAAATCCAATCACATCGCTGAGTAGTTATCTCTTATGCTTAAACAAAAACAGTAAGTCACAAATAGGGGGAAGAAAAACAAGATTGGCTTTGAAGATGAAGATCACACAAGGATATAGAAGATAATGCAAGGCACCTCAAAAATTGAAGATCAAACATACACATCCACAAGGGAGCCAGCAGTATCATTAGGCATGTGTAGGCCACCTCTTGCCCTATGACTTCTAGATCAAGCAATCAAGCAATCAAACATCCTCCAATCACAGCTATTTGCTAGCATTTTGTAGCAGTGTTCCTGGACACATTGTGTGTGTCTTCCATGAGCTCATGCTGCTTGTGATATGCCCAAGACAACCCCATGAGAGAAAATTAAATACTAAGGAATAAGATGTTGTCATAGGATTTAGCTTTGGAGGGCCACGATACTATCATAGCTTTTTTTTTTTTTTTGCCCATCTTGAACCAGTTTTCACCCCTAGGGGGCAGTATCCCCTCATCGAGAATGCATAGTCTAAGTGAATAGTCACATTTGGTGGTTATACGCTTACTGTATCAGTGATGCCATTCATCAGAATACACTGGAAAGTTTTCCTCGGGAAATGCCCCACATCTAGGTCATATTACATAATGGTCACAACATTTTATTTTGTTTTGTTGCTTTTAATATTGTTCCCCCTGTATCCATACCAGTGTTTGCTTCAGGCTCCTTTCAAAAGTTAAATGAATCCTCAAAAGACAAAGGTTTGTCATGATTGAGGAGACTGCAAAGAATACAGACAGGCTCTGAGCAGTACTGTGGAAAGATCAATTAACTTGAGAGTCAGATATCCAAGCTTCATGTATGCCTATAACAGGCTATGTGATCATGGTTAAGTATCTTAATCTATGTGAACCTTTTACTCGCCTTGAAAAGGTCGATTATGCCTACTTTCAAATATGATGATAAGGATTAAAAGAAATAAAATGTGTCAAAGCATTATGTAAATTATGAAGAGGTATACAAGTATTGGCTATTTTTATTTATCATATATATGCTAAAATCAAATCACATTGCTGAGTAGTTATCTTTTATGCTTAAACACAACAGTTAAGTCAGAAATAAGGGGGAAAAAAGGATGGAGATTAGCTTAAAAGATGAGACTCACATGTTGTTCAGAAGGTTGTAGGAAATAATATAAGCTGCCCCCAAATTCAAGCGACCTAGCATATTGGAGATAAGCAAAGTTCAAAATCATTTAGACCAACCTTCGTGAATAGTTACAACAAAAACTAAAACACAGGTTGAACTTTGTTTTTTGTGGCCAGCAGTAGTAAATGTCATTAGCCTGTGCAATATTTTGTTTGTTAAAGTTTCTCTCCACAAAAATATTATTAGAAAGCTATTTTGCTAAATTAACTCGGCCCAGGTCAATTATCTTGAATGTGAAGACAAGATCATAAGTTGTTATGAGTGGCACTTATTCAGTAAAGGTAGTGCCACTGCGAGTAAAACTCTGGTTCTTGGACACTGAACTCATCCCTAATTTTTGTAAACTATTACAAAGATGTACTTAATCCAAAGGGGCCTAGAAGAAAGCATTTAGGACAGTCCATCACTGCTTTTGAAAACAAAGCAAAACTCACTTTACAGGTTAATTTCAAAGGGGAGGTTTGTAGTGATATTTCCATATGAATTGAACTCATTATAGATTACTTTTAATAGTGTATAAATATTAAGGTTCATTGTGAGGTATCATGTATCTAGGTTTTTAATCCTGTTTTCTTCCAAAAGTTAGGTCAAGCTCATTTGCCCAATTTACTGAGTAAATGCCAAGCACATCTAAGTTGCAAGTACTTGAATATATATTTCCAGATTGCTGGTTTCCCAAGAAATTTTAAATTGTCTTTCAATACTAAGGAAGTCTTTCTATCAGTAACCTGTCCAATTATTATAAACCATGTTATTCCTTCTCTTTTACAGTAGTTTTTCCTTTGATCCCAGATGGAAGTACAGATAACTGACGACATGTCCTCTTTTTCATACAGGATAGAGACTGAAGGCGGTGACTACATGTTCTGCTTTGATAATACATTCAGCACCATTTCTGAGAAGGTGATTTTCTTTGAATTAATCCTGGATAATATGGGAGAACAGCAAGAACAAGAGGACTGGAAGAAATACATTACTGGCACAGATATGTTGGATATGAAACTGGAAGACATTCTGGTCAGTACGGTTTAATAAAATAATAAAAATTACTAACATCTAGAGACCTTAGTATGTGATAGGCACTGAGCTAGGCATTTTATCTGCATTATCTCACCTAATGCTTGCTTAATTCTATGAGGATTATTATCTTCATCTTTCCAATGAGGAAAATTATGGATTAGGGATATTTTGTAATGTCTGTCACAGAACCAGAGAGAGAACTAGAATTTGGACACAGACTCTTAACTGCAGAACTCCCTTAGAATGTTCACAAACAGAAGACTGTAATAATGATCTGCAGAACACTTGCACATATAATAAAACTGAGTAATTTGTAAACACTTAAGATGTACAGGCATTTTTCCCCACACCATAGTTTTTATAACATGAAACTTGTTATTACTTAATTTTGGGAACACTGTTAACATTACTTAGCAGAAACTAGCACTACACTTAGGAGTAAAAGCTTTTAGATTATGGCTTCTTGGCTTTAATTGCTTTATGTGCTATTTATCATAAACATGCATAATGAAATGTGCATGTATAAGAACCTACTTGCTAATAATAGTACTGCCAGTGATGGGGAGAAAGATCATTACCCTTCGGCCACAGCTAGATGTAATAAAATGATAGAATTCTCAGTGATATTTATAAATAGTGTATATACCTGTGTTATAAAACTTTCTACAGGAGAAATACTGTGATTATTCCATGTTTGAAACTATATAACCTCTAATACTCTTATAACCTGACCTTTTTTTTTATAATATGACATTTTGATCACTTTGAGGTTTCTTAGGAAAGCAACTATCAAATTATGAGACATACTGTAGATCAGTTAGCTTAAGAAGTCAGAAAATTAAATGATCATATCATATGTGTAATTCCTTAGTGAATGAGCTCTCTGAGCCTTGGTTTCCTATTATCCTCGGGAATAATACCTCGAGTTGTTGTGAGGATGAAATGTGATATGGCATGTATATAAATGCTTTAAACAGAGTCTGGCACACAATAAATATTAGTTTTCTTACCTTCTCCATTGGTGTCATTGTGAATACAAACAAAGGATTAAGCTTAATTGGCATGAATTTTTACCATGAAAATTTTTGATCTCATCATTTCATATGTATACTAAACTTAGTTGAATTTTAGAACTAGAAGAAGACTTAGTTATCATTAGTCCAGCTGCAAACTCCCTTTCCCCTTTCATTCCATTTTATAAGTAAGGAACTGGCTTAAAACGGAAATGATGTATCCATAGTTTCACGACTAGTCCAGTCTTCTTCTCACCCATTTTTTAAATCTCAATCATATTAATATATTGTCTCATTTTAGATTTATATTGCCAACAAGAGCAAACTAGAAGTAGTTGTAAATTTTGTTAGTACTTCACTGCATTCTCAAGAGATTGACTTCATTCACAATTAAACAAAATGACCAGAAAGTTCAGATTTAAATATGGCTTAAAATACTTGGTCTTGTTTGAAAAAAAATAAAATGTCTTTCAGGAGACTTTTCATTTACTCCCCCCGCGCCAAATTTTTATCACAACAGCAAACTTGAATAAATAATTCTATACTTGACTATCATCGTCATGATATTGAAAAGAACTATGGATGGTCTTTTTATTTGGGGATCTGAATCCCATATTTTTCTGGAAAATATACCATTGCTTTACAAATGTGCCCATATGATAACTGTTATATTTTGTAGTTTTGTAGGTTTAGCAGAGCAGTCTGCAATTTTGAGTATGTTTTTTTGCATTTAAATGAGGATTTTAAGCAAGGTGACTATCCAGGAAAATCTGTTCCCAGTATTTTCTTATTTTTGCCATCAATACTTTTTGAATTTCGAATCTCAACTTTACTTTATATTCATGTAAACCTTTTATAGTTTTTAAATCACTTCTCACCAGGACCCTACTATAAAAATAGTTTTTTCAGAAGATGTGCAACTTAGAATGCATCTTGATAAGCTTGTTTTATGAATGTGATCTTAGAACATTTTTGTATTAAAAACAGATTATATTTTTTATGGTTGTTAGGGCTAAGAAGATAGTGTGTATAAAATTACTGGCACTATAGCATTCAAATGTATTTTCACATTATTTTCAATTCACAGTAGCTTTGTTCATTTTTTAAATGACTAATTATAAACAATAATTTAAATACATCATGAGAACCATTACATAAACTTTATATAATGAAGATCTTTAGGTAATATAATTAGTACCCACCCCTTAATTAAAATTGTGTTTGGATATTAAACTAGTAAGAGTACTGTGAAGCACATTTTTAAATTAACTTAAAATTACTGAGCATTCTTCTTTTACAATAAAATTATTTTTTTTTATCTCCAGGAGTCCATCAACAGTATCAAGTCCAGACTAAGCAAAAGTGGTCATATCCAAACTCTGCTTAGAGCATTTGAAGCTCGTGATCGAAACATACAAGAAAGCAACTTTGATAGAGTAAATTTCTGGTCTATGGTTAATTTAGTGGTAATGGTGGTAGTGTCAGCCATTCAAGTATATATGCTGAAGAGTCTATTTGAAGATAAGAGGAAAAGTAGAACTTAAAACTCCAAAGTAGAGTACTTAACATTCAAAAAAAGGGGCAGAAAAATGCAATAAACTGTTACAGTCAAGACCATTAATAGTTGTTTGCAAAACGTTTTCATAAGTGTGAAATAAATATTAATTTTAACGTGAAAGGAAAGGCTTCACTTTCATCTGTGCAAGTAATCTTATTGTTCCAGTTGTACTTAAGTGTATAACAAGTATTTTGCAGGTATAAATGAATGAAGCCATATTAGTAACGGCAGTTTCCTACGTTTGAAAAAATTTTGCAAATGTCATAGGTGATTTAAATAAATGAACTTTGGGCCTAAATGTAACACTGAACTATGTTTTTAAAAGATTGTTACCCAAAAGTTTCTTTGTAAATGTGGCAATTACAAATTAACTGTAGAAGTTTTTCAATATATTAAGTTATAAATCATCTGAGAATTACCTAATCATGGATATCTTTAGAAGACAACGACTCAACTTTTCTCTTTTTACATATGTATCTCCTAAATGTAAATAGAAGCATAGCTGTGAAAAACAGTTATGTGGGATTTTTATAACCAAATATATTTCATTTTAATAACAAATAGTTTTATATACCTAGCTTACATTCCCAAAAGCTGACATTTTGAATAATTCTTAAAAATGCTAAGTCATACTTATTAAAATTAGGATAGATGTTCTCTTTGAAGAATAAAGATTGCTCCCAGTCTCTATAAGAATACATTCTGTCTAATCCTTAACCAAAATATAGATTTTAAAATTAAATGTGAGGGAAAATCATTTTATTTTTATATTATCAACAGTGTTATGTTAGTTTTAACATGTTTACTGACTTGGATAATACATAATACATTAATACCAGCAGTTGTGAAGGAAATATTGCTAAAAGGATCTGGACCTAATGTAAGTAAATATCACTTTTGTGTTCTCAAAATCAGTAAGAAAAGAATAAACTCAATATAAAAGAATTTAGAGAATATCCTATCAAAATAAAGTTCACTTAAACTATAAATAAAGTATTTGGAATCTGATTGGCTCATAATGACTCAATCCTAATAGAAACTATGAGATTAATTTCCAGTTAACTGGAAGAAACTGGGTTTTATTTTTTTACAATTGTTTTATTCTGTTTTGAATTATCATTTATAAGTATTCAGGTACATTTTACAAAACATAAGCCCTACTGGGTATAAATTTTATTTTTATTACAACTTTATTACAACTTTCATAAAGTGACCTTTCTGATCACTTTATTTGATATTCAGATAAGGATTGGAAACCCACAGAAGTTTAAACACTCAATATGTGAATAACCCTATAGTCTCTGCCATCCTGTCTTACTCAAGTACTAATAATTTAATGAATTAAATAGAATTTTTAGGTTATACCCATTTGTAATATTGTTTATGACATATACAAGTTAGAAACAATCAACTTAAAAACTTGAGTGTAGAACAACCTCTGTGGGTTAGTACTGCTGGAATTCTTAATAAGCAATAATGATACCCAGAGAGAATGCTTTCATCTATAATTTACACTCAAGAGTGGTACAAAAAGAGAGATATTTCCCTCCTTCTTATATATTTCCCTCTATTCTTCTTCAGAAAAGAAGTTTAGATTTCCCAACTCTGAAGCTTTTTAAAAATGAGATAAGGTATGATTACCTTAATTGGTCAAGAAAATGCTCCTAAGTGTCCAGGAGTAGCCCCTATAACACATTGCAAAACAAGGGCCAATAAGATTTTTGCCTATGAAGAGCCCTCCTTTTTCCCCTTCTGATACACTCATAATAAGAAGCAAACTTAAAGTACTATAGCTAATAAAACAGTACAGATATAAACTACTGCATCTTTTCTATAAAACTGTGATTAAGAATTCTACCTCTTACGTATACCTGGTTACTGTACTGCACTGATTCTTTACCTAACAATAAATTTGTTACATCACCTTCTACATATGATTTGTGTCACTGATTTTAAACCACTGATTCAGTAACTTACTGTATAATAATGGCCTTATTTGGAAAACAAAGAATTTAAGAATATTGAGGACAATTTTATTTTTATAGACAAAGTGAAAAGAGATTATTTAAGAAGCATGTTACCTGTATTAACCAAAAAGTAAAATCTGTAAGCACATTTGTAATAAATTCTTTAATATTTCTAAAGGCATATTGTTTATCTGCCTCATGTTTTTAATGTCAGTATTGTTTTGACATTAAAATTATGCTAAAACTGAGTAAGCTATTTATCACTTAACAGCTTATTTTGTCTTCAGTTTTTAATCATATAAACTTTTAAAATATTACAATATTTAACTGAGGCCTAGAGTTTCACTATGATTTGCATTTGGATCATTAATGATTGCTATTCTTTCATGTGAATGTCAAGATATAGAGGATAAGTGGTTGAAATAGCACTGAAATAAATGATAAACTGAAATGTAATTTTATGCTATGTATGTTTATCCTTCTTAAGAATTATAATGTCCTAAAATTGACAATAATTGAGTACCTATAATTCTGTGCCTTCCCAAAGAAAATTCTTTATCTGAAATATTCAAAGATATTGGTTCAGCATGTAATGGTTTTTCAGTTGAAGTGTAATAATGCACAATCAATGTTGCTCAAATTGCTTTATAATTATGAACAGACACAGCCATGTTAAATAAGCATTGAATACTGTGCTGAGTATATATAATAAAAATTACAATCAAAGAATGTCTTATTTATCTACCAGTCATTGTAAATGCTGTCTAATCCTTAAAGCCTTCATTGATTTCATCTTAACCAAGTGTGCTCTCCCTTCCATTTGAAAACCCATACGTCTCTGCACTTTTTATTGTATATCATTCTACCCTGCATTAGACTTTTGTTTATATATGTACTTATTCTTCTGTTGCCCAAACATGCATTGTAACTAAAAGGTACTCAAAATACAGGGGCAAAGATCATCAGTTCTGAAAGTCTGGGATGCTAAATAAGCTAGTTCCAGTCTTCTACCCCACTGAAGAAATTGATTGTTTAGGACTGGAATTTGGCTCCAGAATCTTAATTTTTCACCCACGCAATTTGGGATTCTGGTGTCCACATTATCCTTGGACCATTTGCTAACTGGGTGAACTTGGGAAATCAAAACTCCTTTGAACCTATTTCTTCATTTGTATAGGTATTTTAAGTAACATCTTAAAACTCAGTTAAAAGAGCATTAAGAGAGTCTAGGGCTTGGTGAAGGTTGGTATATTATTGGTGATTTCCTTCATACCATTTAGACAAGACACTCTTCCCCCACAAGCTGGTAGAATTCCTTAGGCACCTTTCTGGTTCTGCACGCCCATCACTTTCAGGTGTCTGGGCTTCTGGAAGGCTTGTGTCATTAGACAATGGATATACAGTTAATGTGTATCTAGGAGAATGACACAATAAAGAATCCACACCTAAGATGACATCATCTGACAACGAGCATATCATGGATGCCAGATCCCTGCATCTAGAAGAAAAGGTGAGGAAATGCAGGGCAGGGAAAAAAATCAGAGGTCTTCAGTGACCATGAGTCAAGAGCAAAATGAACAATGAGGATCAGTTATCCAACAGTGAAATGAACTCCCTTATATATAAAGAAAGCAACTACTCCCCAGTCTTGGAAGTTTTCAAGTGGCAATAATGATCAGACATAAAAGGGATTACTTCTACATCTGGTGTAAAATGGAAGGATGGACTAACAAAACTAAACTTTATACTCCTATTTCAATTTTAAAAGCACTAAGTAATACTGTCTAATCCTTAAAGGATTAGGAGAAAGCTGAAAGAAAAGGCCAGGGTTTCAAAAGACACATTGTAGAGTTCTATTTTGCTGGATTCTTGCTTGGTGTTAAAAAACAAATTACAAACAAAATTTAAAACAATACCGTTTATAATTAATTACTCCAAAGAAAATGACATACTTAGATATAAATCTAACAGAACATGTACAGGATCAGTATGATAAAAATTATCAAGTGGCTGGTAGAAGAAAGACCTAAGTAAATGGAGAAACATACCATGTTCAAAGGTTGGAAGGCTCAACATAGTAAAAAGATCAACTCTTCCCTAAATTGTTCTATAAATTTAACATTAATTCTTATCAAAATCCAGCAAGGTTTTTTTGTAGACAAGGACAAGCTTATTCTAAAATTTATATGGAATGGAAAGGCAAAAGAATAAGGTAATTTTGAAAAAGAATAAGGTCTACCTATATTAAGGCTTTCCTTATAGCTATAGTAATCAACGTGGTGTGGTACTGGTGGAGGGACAGACACATAGATCAACAGAACAGACATTCTAGAATACACCAAAACAAGTCCAACTGATTTTTCACAATGGTGCAAAAGCAATTCAATAGGGAAAAGACAGCCTTTTAAACAAATGGTGCTGGAGCAACTGAGACAAACACAGGTAAAAACATGAACTTAAATGTTAAAATGATAAAGCTTTTTGAAAAAAATATGAGAAAATCTTCAGCACTTAGGGCTAGACAAAGAAGTTCCACACTTGACACCAAATGCATGACCCATAAAAGGAAAAACTGATAAATTGGACCTCCTCAAAAGTAAAACTTTTGCTCCATGAAAAACCCTATTAAGGGATGAAAAATTAAACTACTGATGGGGAGAAAACAGATGCAAATCACATATCCAAAAAAGGACTAGAATATCTAAAGAATTCTCAAAGCCCAACAGTTAAAAAAAAAAAATTCAATTAGAAAATGAGCAAATGACATGAACAGACATTTCACTGAAGAAAATTTGCGGATGGCAAATAAGCACATGAAAATAAGTTTAACATCATTAGCCATTAGGATAATTCAAGTTAAAACCATAAGATATCAGTACACACCTACCAGAAAGGCTAAAATAAGAAAAAGTAGTTACAACACCAAATGCTGGCAAGGATGCAAGAGAACTTGGATCACACTCTTACATTGCTAGTGGGATATAAAATGGTAGAGTGGGATATAAAATGGTAGAGTCACTCTGGAAAATATTTTGGCAGTTTCTTATAAAACTACACATGCACTTACCATGCAACCCAGCATTTATACTCTTGGACACATCCCTGAGAAATAAAAACATGCTCAAATAAAAACCTGTACACATTATTATACAAAGCAGCTTCATTTGCAATAGCCCAAACCTGGAAATAACCCAAATGTGCTTTAAAGAGTGAATGGTTAAACTTGGTACATCCATACTATGGAATACTGAGCAGCAATAAAAAGAATAAACAATTGATACATGCAACAATTTGGATAGACCTCAAAGGAATTATGGTTAGTGGGGGGAAAACAATCGTTAAAGGTCACACACTATACCATTTCTTTTTGTAACATTCTTGAAATAACAAAATTATAGAGATGGAAAACGGATTAGTGGTTGCCAGGTGTTAGCAATGGAGGAAAGAAAGGGAATGTAGCTTAAAAAGGCAGC